AATGAGATAGTTAAAAAAATATGGAATGATGACACTTGTAATAATGTTAGTGGGTAGTAATATTTGTAGGTATAAAATGTAGGAATCAATTTAATTTCTTAGAAATTATGGTTTATTTTCTTTTACCCAAATCAAAATATCCGGATCCAAACCTGTTTTGAATTGAGGTTTTCAAGTTGGTTTTGCAAATCCAATTATAAAGCACTTCCTAACGCTATATCCTTGAATCGGGAATGCCCGGTCGAACCAATCCTTAAAATCCAGTATTCATCCAAATCGGTTCCGGATCGGGTTGTGGGTCCAAATAGGATAACAAGAGATTTAACACCCACATATAGGTCAAACGTCAATACATATTTATAGACTTTTATACATTTGTGTATTTTAGCATCATATCTCCATATCTATCTATTAAAACATCATTACTCGATTCATTTATAACATTGTGTTTTCCATATTTTTCGAATTATAGCAGCTAAAAACTTAAAACTACTTCGTATTAATCGCAATATAATTTGGCATGGTTTTCCAAAGTGTTTTTCTTTTGGAAAACAAGACTTTAGAAGTTCTACCCGGTGATTAGGAATAAACAAAAGTAAGATGCTAATGTAAATAAATCAATGATAATTCATTGATATTTCTTTCATTTAACCCTAAACAAGTAGTGCGTTTGACATGTGTATTTGACAAAAACCGACATAGAGTGATGTCAATGGGACAAAAACTGTGTACACAGAGTGATTGTAAATCTTTGTCCCAACCAAAAAAGTTGGAATAGGATTCGCTTTAAATCTCTCATATGTAAAAAATACATAAATACTCTCATCATCAACAACCAGAACCAACATTCTTTACCAATAGTCACCACACGAACAAACACCTTCCCTAACATGATGAAACCGCTTTGCATCACGGACAATTATCTCCCTCCCTTCAACACGCGATACAACCTTAATAAACGTGTGACAATCACCACAAACCCTAAGATTTTTCGTGACACGAATCGGATTTCCCTCGGGTACACTCATAAGCCCGTATGCAATCGCAAGTTTCTCACTATGTGCAAACAAATTTCCCAATTTAACCTCCTCACTAACATCATGCAACACAAAATCCGTATCCGGAACATACCCATTAACTTCTAATTTCCCAATCAACCCCTCAAGTTTCTCATATATAGCGTTTGATTCACAATGAGTACGATCACCACTACTAAATTTATAAAACGTGTTATGTGCCTCGACCCATGTCAAACCGGGTGTCTTTTTTACGTTTTTTCCATTCATTTGAACACGGATTTTTGCCACGTCATCCCATTTGAATGCTTTTGCGTATATGTTTGAAAGCATGATGTAATGGCTTGGATTGTGGGGATTGATTTCAAGAAGTGATTCGGCTGCTTTTTGTGCCATTTCAACTTGATTATAAACACGACAAGCTGCAAGAAATGCAGACCATAAACCTTCATCTTTTTCAACTTTCATGTTCTTGATCATGGTGAATGCTTCATTAAGTCTTCCTGCACGGCCTAAAAGGTCAACCATGCATGTGTAGTGCTTCACGTCTGGTTTTATGAAGTATTCTTCTTGCATCTGTGAGAAGATTTGAAGACCATCTTTGACTAAACCGGAGTGACTACAAGCATATAGAAGTGAAAGAAAGGTGATTTTGTTTGGTGTGATTTTGTTTTTGCACATGATGGGGAACAATTCGAGTGCTTTTTGACCTTGCCCGTGATACCCATAAGCTGAAATCATTGTGCTCCATGTTATAACGTTTCTTTGTGGCATTTCATCGAACACCTGGCGTGCAGTATCTATGCTTCCACATTTTGCATACATGTCTATCATTGCGGTTCCTAGAATCACGTCAGGTGACCGGTATTGTGTTCGTATAAGGTCATGGATGAGTTTAGCTTTATGCATGGCGCCTAATTTTGCACAAGCATTGACGATTGTCACCATGGAGACCTTATCTGGCACTAAGCCGGATTCTCGCATCTGATCAAATAAAACCAAAGACTCGTTGGCGTTTCCGCTAGCAGCACACGCACCGATCATGACAGTCCATGTTGTAAGGTCTCTCTGTGGCATTATATCGAACAACTTCTGAGCGTCGTCTATGATCCCACATTTTGCGTACATGTCAACAAGTGCTACACAAACGAAAGTGTTCTTATGCAATCCGAACTTATGCGCGATGTGATGAACCAATCTACCCATTTTGAGATCTTTTCTATCCCGACAAACTCTTATTACAGAAGGCAGGGTGTAAACATCAAGATGTTCCCCAGACTTGATATACTCCCTAAACGTCTCAAAGCAATTGGTATAATTACCAGCCTTAGCGAATCCTCCGATCATAACACTCCAAGAAGCCGGGTTTCTTTCAGGCATTTTATCAAACAGACTATAGGCATCGTCCAGAGCATTGTAGCGTACGTACATATACAAAAGTTTGTTAATTAAAAGAAGGTCACTGAGTAGGCCATTAACAGACAATTGGGCGTGAATGGATTTAATCTGTTGTAAATGTTTACAGTTCATTAGGGCGGATACGTAGAATTTCGGGTCCATAGATGGTGTTTCTTGAATTTGGGTACTGAGAATTGAGGTGTTATGCTCATGAATTTGATGGTTTGTTTGGCCACCATCATCTAGAAATTGTAAGGCAGAAGCAACAGAGCAAAACTTTGGACCTTCAATAGATGGATTAACAGTAAACAATCTCTGAAGTTTGAGTTTGAACATGGAGTTTTTCGGAAAAGAGTTTTTGTTTGAAAGTTTGAGTTTGAAGATGGAGGCTCGCTAAATTAACAATACTACAATAACATTGGTTACAGAGATTTTCAGTATTTTTAGTTTTTTTTATTAAAATTATTTACTAAATTGATCATTTTTAGGGTCTAATAATAAGTCAATAACCGCTATCACCACTTTTTTTTTTTTTTTTTTTTTGACGAATACTCAAGCTCGAGAATTTTAAAATGTTAGCCATCTCTTAATATTCTTGGATCTGTTAGAGGGTGTTTGTTTTTTCTCCGCAGATCTGCGTGATCTCTTCTGTCTGCGCGGCGCAGACCACGCGCAGACATAAAGGTTTGCAGTGCATTTGGTTTTCTGAAGTCCGCAGACATAAAAAGGTCTGTGTGAGGTCTTCACCACACAGACATGGGCCAACCACTTCTAAAGTCTGCCAAGTGTTTTAACCTTATAAAAAAAAAAACGCGTTCATTTTTTTTCCGCCTCCATCTTCGATCTAGCACCGCTCGTCTACCATCGATCACCTCCGATCAGCACCAGCCAAGGCCGCCCTCCACTCCGATCGCCGCCCTCTTCTTCGATCGTCGCCTCCTCTCCGATCGCAGGCGTCCCGACGACCACCAAACGAACAGGTTTGTAATCGTTTTTTTTTCACTTCAAACATGAAATTGAGGATTAATCTTGCTGGAAAAACTCTCTAATGCACTAAAAACAAAAGAAAGGCTTGCACCTCTTGTTTCTGATTTAAAAAAAATAATAAAAAATAAGGCTTGTGAAATCAAATTTTGTTGGATAAATATATTATGAAATCAGATTTTTTTTTTCTTGTTATATGGTTGTTGAAATTGTTTTGATTGTTGTTATGCTGCTTAGTATGATATTTGGTCTCAATTTTGATAAATTATGTATGGTTGAATTGATCTAAATGGAGCAGAAATTAGTTGATAATCACAGCACGTCAACTGTTTGATTAAAGTCTTCAAAGATGCTAGACTTTTTATTTCTAGTTATTTCAAAGTTATTTATTTCTAGTCATTTCAAGCACCTGTTGCAAGTTGCATTGGTTATACGATCAAGAACATCTAACTTGGTGTTATCTTTTTTCTAGGACTCAGTGATCTCTCCCAAGGAATGCTAAGACTCTTAAATGCTACCAAAGATTCTTTTCTATTCATCTTTTGTGTTTAGTTTACATGTAAAACAGTCCCAATTTTTGGTGTTTTGAAAGTTGTAATCAATGTAATTGTAACAAAAGTGTGATTTTACTTCAATTTTAATCACCTTTTGATTGTTGATCAAACTTTATAAACTTTATCTTTAACATCATTAGCTTACAAATTTTATATGAGGTTTAACATGATAGTTTGATGTTGTAAAAAAAATTTAAAAAAAATGTTGTTTTGGTTGTAAGAATTATATTTCAGTATTATAAAATTATTTAAATTTTAAAGTTTAAAAACTCTTTTAAGTTCAAAAAAATTGGTTTATTTAAACTTTATTTGATTTTAACAGCCTGCAGACGTATAAAAACAAACAGTCTTCTTATTGCAGACTGCAGACGTTTGGTCCACCTCTTCTGCTGTAGAGGCTTGCAGATGTGGTCTGCAGACTGCAGACATTTTGGCTTCAGAAAAACAAACAGCACCATAATATTCTTGACGAGTTTGGAAAAAGAAAATACAACATTGGATAAGATAAATATTTGTTAAAAATATAAATAAATTATATTTAAATTTATGGTTTAAAAAACAAACAAGCAAAATGTATTTTTTTTAATACTTTTTTTTAAGGAATAACAAATCTAATTTACTTTTAAATTCCGCTTATTTCCTAGACAAAACTTAAACGTCCGCCAAAGTTACAAAACCAAGCTACTAATCATTTTTCCTACAACTTATTTTATTTGGATTTTAACAAGTTTCTATATTAACCAGTTTATACAAAATACGGTTTGAAAATTCACTTCACGGTATGATATGGTTCAATACATATCGATTGAAGGCAAACGGGCAACAAGCTGCGCCGCTAGCCCTTTTTGGATGGCAAAACCAATTCTTTTGAAAACTACATTTGTGGATCTTGGAGATATGACATTAGAATGCATGACCCGTTGGACTCTATTGAGGAGCTCCACCGCCTCTGGTGCGAGAAAACCAAATGTATCGAATGCAAAAGGTACAAACACATGTTGATTTTCTATACATGTATTCTCATGTTTTACCACTTTGCACGCAATGGCTTTCAAAGCGGCATGCCCAGCTGTGAAACCCCTGCTCTCCAAACCAACGAGAGGAGAGACCCCAGTAAGATCCACGCACGCATGCTTCCCTCCTATCCATCCAAAGACCAAAATGTCAGCCGGTCTAAGTGTGGACCTTCCATCCTGTGGGTCCGTCAAAAAGTTCACCGGCGCTTCTTTCTTCACAGAAATACCAGCACGCCGACAAGCATCAAAGAGAACATCCTGAACCACATCATGTCTGTACTTGAAACCAGGGAGCTCTCTACAATGAACCGCGTGTTCCCCAAAGGTATCCAAACATGCCTTGCGGCAAACTGGGCATATCTCGTCAATTGGGAATATGGGAATCATGAGGCGGTAACGAAGGATAGTTCGGTACTCCACAAGAGACATATGCTGGCCAAGACCATCAATAGGGATAGTTAGCAGAAAATCCTGAGCATGAGGTGCCCGCAGACACTCAAAGACTGCTTTCTGTCTAACAGTCATGTCGAAGTCGACTTCCATATCTTGGACGATTTTGCTAAAAAGGGCACACGCCAAAACTTTTTGGGATTTAGGGGGCGGTGTCCTTATTAGTGAAACCGCTACAGTCAAATCCCAGAATCGTATCGCAAAGACGAGTCATAGCACATAGGTAATCCGAGTTCATACCACATACGCCACTGTCACGTAAGATGTGGTCTTGTAATGCCCAAGATTGGGCCCTCGAGGCTACAAATGCGTAGGAGGAAACCTCGTATGCCGAGTACAAACCCAAACCACCAAAACGAATAGGTAAGGAAGCCAAGCGCCACTGAATGTCTCCAAAGAAGGGGCCTCCACATACCACCATATCCTCGATAGACCTGCGCAATCCTTTGTCAAAGAACAAAGCTGCCTCTTCTATGTGTACCGGCTGGCATGTCCTTAAACCAAAGAAAAGTTTTGCAATTCCCATACATGATCGAAGCAAAAGGAGCTCACTTTGCGGGTCACATAGTTGTGGAAGAAGGCCCATCAAATCAACAGCATTGACCGCTCTCTTCATGGCCAGCCCGCTAATAAACCCTGCGTCTTTGCTAACAGCCCCCCCCAAGGAGCTTCACCCCCAAAGAAGGTCTCCCTATATACAAAAGAATAATACTCACTACAAAATTCTAACTTTCACAGGATTGAGTATATTGGTGACTTCGGAACAAAAACATATCGGTGACTTCGAAAAAAAAACGAGTCTTTATCATAATGCCTTTTCACGTCAAAAAAAGATAATTTCACGATTCATATTGTAGGTAGTAATCTGAAAATCCGGTCACATAAATACAATGGACGGAGTCTTTTTTTTCCGACCAACTCAACGAAGGTTCACGTCAATTTTTCTTATTTCTTTCTCTTTCATCTTTTTCAAATTGCAACACTCAACTCATTCAACTACTTGTCACATCATTCTTTTTTATTTAATTAAATTAGAAAATATAAAATAAAATAAAATATAACATTTTTTTTATTTAAAAATAAACGTTTTCTAATTTAAAACAAAAAAAAACTAAAATACTATTAAAAATAATATTTAATTAAAAAACCACACTACAAATAAAAAAATACACGATAATTAAAAAAACACACTTAAAAAAGACAAAATAATTAAAATCTTAAAACGACAATTAAAATTAATTAGTCATCCAAAGTTGGAATGTAACATGTTCAATATAATTAGTAAGATCGCGAAGCTGGTGGTAGGTTTCATCATTGCGCAATTCATGTAGGATTTTTGGACCAGCGACTTCGTCGTTGGGGGGTCGGACTGATGCACAGGAGATATCGCAGTAGCCACATCTTTCAGTATCATATTGTGTAGTATAATACTAGCGTACATAATATTTTTTGTTTTCTTTACCGTCATAGCTCGTGCCGAAATTTTTAATATGTCCCAACATCCTTTAAGAACCCCAAAAGTAGTTATATGTCCTTTCTTGTTGATTCATGTGCCGCCTTGAACCGTTTTTTTTTTTGTCGGTTACTGTGTGTAGATATGTCTTCACAAATACAACCCATGTTGGATATATACCATCCGCAAGATAGTAATCATGCTTGTAGTGTTCACCATTCAGATAAAATGAACACTCAGGTCATGTTCCATGATATTTCTCATCAAACAGTGGTGATTGGTAGAGGACGTTCAGATCATTGTTCGAACCAACTACACCGTAATATGCATGGCAAAACCATAAATCTTATGACGTCACCGCTTCTTGAGACATCCCAAAATCAAGGTAAATTTTTTTCATTTTTAAAATCATCAAATCCATACATCATAAGTCTCAAAGTCAATCGCAATGCAATGTATCAAATCATCAGAGTAAAATAGTAGTCATCAATGCGGAAGATCATTAGGGGGATAATGATGTGGAGTCAAGTCGGGTCCTTCCCTTTGGAACTGGAAGTAACTGAAAAATTATATGTCAGTTCTAATACCGTAATTAAATGTTTAGAAACCTGAACACATCAAATTTCCTAATTCTAGGTCGGCAACAGACCTTAAATCTAATCAATTAATCGAAATTTAGGCAACCTAAAGCATGTTATAAGTCATTTAGCACATAAGGCAAGTTAGGCATTTTTTCCTAAAGTGAGCTAGTGTTTGTGTCAATTCAAGTGTACTACCTAAGATATAACAGACACACATTTCATGATCATCGCTTAGCATTCTAAGATTAAGTCTAGAAATTCTCTAAATTTCCAGTTCGCTTAAACTAATGCTCTAATA